TAGTCACTTATATGTAATTAAGTGCTTTTACCTCTGGCTCATAAAAAACATCTTGGTAGCATCTTTTGAAGGAACTCAAACAAAAGTGTGAGAATTTTTGTACCAATATGTATGCTAACAAGATTGTTAATAAAGATGGGGAGAAACTAGAGTTGGCTTTATGGGGCATGGTTGAAAGAGCTCTCTGTCTTTAATCTGGTTAAGAGAAGTTTAATGAAATGTACAAGGTAATGCTTTTAAAAAGTCTTGTGCATAAGATGGACAATAACAAAAGAACAAAAGCAAACTAATCAGTTATATAGTTAACTTCAGAAACTTTTTGCTAGTCACAGGAAACCATATCAAAATATTGGAAGAAACTTTGTTATCTAAGAAAAGGGAAAATAATAAAAACAATGTATGGTTTTCCAAACACACAGTATTGTAAAAATTAAATTATTAATTATTTGGCTCTAATTTAACACTGAGGTTACCTGTTCAAGAAATATAAAGCTAATGTATGTGGTGGACTTGATAATACTATCTTTCTCCACTACCTGAGAATTTCTGGCAACATTGGGAAAAAAATTTTTTTTTACAACTTTCTCTAAGTCTTTTTAGAAGTTGTCTTCTAGATATCCCACCAGCTAACAGAATAATAGCAAGAAGGGGATCTCTTTTGTAAAACATTTCCATAGCACCAACATTGCTATTTTTAAGTTTCCAAGTCTTATTTTTTTTTAAATCTTAATTTATCTGCTGAGAGACAGTTTGTAAAAAAAGTAAAATAAAAATGGACATCCATGTACAGATAAAAATGTGGTTTACAGAACAGAGTTCCATGAATAACTGCCCCTAATCCTAATGTATAAATATATAGAACTTGTATGTGTTAATGTCTTCATGTCTTCAGTGCAATAGTTCTTCAAAATTACAATACCTGATTTTTTAACATTATAGATAGATAATAGGAATCATAATCTAATAGTAACATTGCATTAATTCAGAGTATGGAAACATTCTTAATAGTGTGATGGTATGTTACCAATCTTAGAGACATTCTAGTCTGAAAATGAGATAAATTTCTCTGTAAAGGTAATTTTCTGCAGATGGATGTAGTATATTTTCTGTTTAGTTAAATTATGTTTGTAGCATATACTTCTGAGTTGTTCAGGATATATGGCATTTGCAGGAAACTCCCTTTGGAGTTCAGAGATGAAATCTGCTTAGCTTGAGTGACAAAACTTCACTGTGAATTTAGATAATTCTTAGCATTATCTAATGCAGGGATTCCCAAACTATGGTCCGCAGCCCAGAACCGGGCCGTGGGCTCTTGGGCAGCGGGCCGTGGAAACGGCTGGCCGGTGCGCGCACGCATGGGTGCACATTCCCCCCACTCGCGCTAGCGCCCACGGCTTTGCGCATGCGTGCGGGCATGAATGGGAATGCTAGCTTGGGGCGGGTATGCGCGGACCTTTTGCGCATGTGCGAGCGGGCTGCTAGCTGCCATGGGTGCATGGCTGTTCACGCATGTGCGCGGTACCAGTGCATGCCACATGCACGAAGAGGGCTGCTAGTGCCACGCCATTGTGCGTGGCCCCGTGCACCGCACGGACACCAATTTTGAAGCTGCTCTCCTTCCCTCCGGACCTCGAGCCCGGAAAGGTTGGAGACCTCCGATCTAATGCAAACATTTTTTATTAGTTTATAATATAAAATTCAAACATGCAAAAACAAATAATAGGAAAAAAGGGAAGGGAAAAGTGTAGAAAAGAAGAGAAAAAGAAAGAAAAGGCATTGACTTCTGATGGTTAAATTGACTGCTTTGATAAAAGAAAAAAACACAATTACTTTTGTTTCTACTTAGAAACCGCTTCTGAACTTTGTGCTTGAGGTGGAAAAAAAATGAAAATTTGATTTTAGGTTTTACTGATTAGATAGATTTGTTGTTATAGAAATGGCTAGTTTATACTATTATGTAAAAGTTAAAAGTTGAGGTTTGATGTTACTATCTTATTGTACTGCACGAAAGGGAGTTGGAAGTCAACGCATTATCTAAATGCCAAGTTAATTTATATGAAGACCCTGGTTTACAGTAATAGTTTATAGGGAGCCATTTCAAAAAAATATATAAATGGATGTAAAACTTTTTGCCATATATGATTTGTTTAATAAATATGATTGTGTTGCTTCTACGATGGGGGTGGGGGGTTTATGGTTTTTATATTGGGTTTTGATGTAAACCACCCAGAGTTACCTGTCTGTGAGTTGGGCAGTCATATAAATTTGTTTAATAAATAAAAATAAATGTAGCACTATTGGTAGAAAAAAACGCTCCTTGGCTTTTTCAATATGTGGAATCCAAATCAACCTGATGTATAAAATCTCCGTCAGCTACTGATGATGAACATTGAGCATATTCCTGCATTTTCTGTTAATTGTTCTTGGTAAACAGTTGCTTCATTTTTTTCTTTTTTTCAGAGCTTTTTAAAGGGCTTTGTGGGAAATCTCTTTTCTGCTAAGACTTGCCCCTTCATGCCCCTTGGGGCTTCTGTGCATGGAGAAAAGAACATTTTTTTTTGTTCACAGATAGAAAAGCAGAAGTGATCTGCCATTAAAGAGAATTCCTCTCTTTCACCATGCTCAGGTCACTGAATCGGAAGGGGAGTTTGCTGGACAGAATCCCTCTCCTCCCTGCAAGAAAAGAAAAATCACTTAATTCCAAATCATTGCACCTTTAGATATTACAAAGGTTGCGAGAGAAAATGAAAACCAATTTGGTACCCACCACACATTTTTATTTATTTCATGAACACTGCTAAAATATTAACAAAGCTGATTGTCAAAATATTGGCTCTTATGTTTTTGTGTGGAATTATGAATAGGGTTGATGTATTTAGACAGCTTTGGAGATCATTCCATTAGTTTCCCAAACATATTAGAAATTCAGCACATTGTTGAAAAAAAGCTATTCTGTGTTCTCTAACTTGGGAGCAACATATACCTAGTTGGGGAGTTGGCATGTCAACCAATTAGGAAGTGCTAAGAAATTCACTGGTCCCTATCAGAAAGGGAAAGAAGGAACAGGGCAGGCACACAGAAAAATATGCCTCCAACTTTCTTAAGTTCAGAAGTTATAGTTTGTTTTGCCTTTCTGCTTATGTTCAGCGAGCATAGAGCTGAAAGAAATAACATGCTTTTGCCAGTTGTTAGGGCAAGGAGAAAATGTGTTCTCATTTTGCAGCTTCAGTATTAATTGCCAGAGCTTGTAAACAAAACTGTCAAGCTGGGGTTATGAAACAAATTATATCCATTATCTTTAGTAGAATTTTATCTATCCGATATCCTGCTTTGCAGTTTCTCTATTCATTCTTTTAAAATTACTTAACAATGTTTTATAATAGCCTGCTATCTTTTCAGCTTTGTTGGGAAATATTCTTGAGGAGGGGAAATCTCTTTCATGATTGCCATAGATGTGTGTCAAATGAAGAACCAGTGCTTGAAACAATAAAAACTGCTTGATGTTTCACGTCAATCTTTTATGTCTGCATTATTCTTGTCTATATTTCAGTAAGTAGAAGAGGGCATTGTAATATAAATAGTACTGGCATTTTCTATAGCAGAAAGAAGGGAGGGAAGGAAGGAAGGAAAGAAAGGAAGGAAAAAGAAGGAAAGAAAAAAGAAAGCAGTTTGCTAGAAAGTGTTGCAGAATAAATATTGTGAATATGATTGGATCTATTTTGCATTTGGTGTGTATGCCTATGAAACTATTCTTACAGAAAACCTGGATGAAAATCTGGGCAAAATAAGAGATAAATGTTTTTTAGAAAATCATTTGACTGAAGTCTTTTTTCCTCGACAAATATTTTTTTTCTCTTCTTAAGTTTGCTAGGCTAGTTTTCTTAAATTAGACATGAAAAATTAGGGTTTATTGATTTAAAAAAAAGTTATAATATTTACTTCACTTTAATGTTATAATTAAATAACATTAATATTAATAAGTCTACTTGTGCTTTGAAGTCCAGATGTACTTAATCTACATTGCACAATAACTGATGAGATAATTTTAGTTTATTTTTATGAATCCTTCAACAATACTTTATTGCTTGTTTTGGGAAGGATTTACAATAATTTTTAAAGTACCAACATGTACATATAATCAGAACCGATTATTTAAAGTGCTCAAAACTTTCAGACTTGAATGGGTGAGGATAAATCAGTGATGCATTTACTGTATGACATTTTTAACTTCTGTGATCAGAACCCTCAAGTTATGCCCCAGTTAAGGTAAAGTCTCTGTTGATTTCAACTCTTAGTATCTGTGGGCATAAATTTTTCTTGTCAAAAATATGGAAATGGTTTGATTAGTATTTTTAGTTAAATTTATATCTTTCGTTTCCTGCAGGAATTCAAGATGGATATTTTTGTGTTTTCCTCACCCAATTTATAGCGCCAGGATTATCTTCTATTTATTATATTAATTGTGAATGACCTTTATTTATTTATTAAATTTATTTGCTGCCCATCTCACCACAGGCTATGCAATTAATACTGTGGTCTCTACATGTTGATTCAAAATAAGTCTCATTAGTGAGGTGCAAATAATTGTATTGAGAACTTGTTTCCAATTTTTAAAATCTTTCAGAATTGAAGATGTAAGCTTCTTCTCTCTTCCACTTGCATAGTGGGAGGTTCTGATTAAAGCATTTGTACAGGAAACATTTTCTCTTTCAAACATCATCTTAGGACACTAATATAAATCTTTTTTAATTAGATAAAATGTGAACTTTCATAATGTCACTTAAAATTGTTGACATTTAAAAGTTCTTTGTTCAACATATGAGATTTCTTTGTGCTGTCCATTAAATATTCTTTCCAAATATGCAATGCAAAGCGTATTATGCATTTGTGTTCTTTACCTGTATTTCTAGTTTTTTAAAAAAAAATCTATTAAATTAATTGTCCCAGGATTAAAAGATGTCATATTTAAAAACTTACGACCTTTTTTTTTTTTTTTACAGGTATTGTCATGAGGTGTTGAAGCCTTGTTTCATTGATTGGGAGACTGGACCTAAATGGCGCAGCATGACTTTGCTCCAGCCTGGCTTAATTTTCCTACTCCACCACCACCATCAAAGGTTATTTGTGCTATTTATTAAATTACTAATGTAGGAAAATTTCCCTTTCCCTTTTTTTTTTCAATGGTAGGCACTACAGCATCCAGAACAGGTTTTGAAGGAAGTACTGAGGGACTGAGTAAAAGAATTTTAACCCAGATGTTTTGTACAATGTGGGAATTCTGCCCATCCTATTTTAAAATAAAAAAATCCCTAAGCTAAACAGCATAAAAACTGCAATTTAAATGTTTTAGTGTTTTTTCAAATACTTATCCTTACAAATGTATTTGATACACATTTCAAAATAGGAATCTAGATTTCAATTCTTATTTTTTTAATAACATCCACTTTAACCACTATTTTGAATTTGGGTTCTTAGCATCAATTTTGTGGTGAACTGTTATTATTATAACTGAAATGTTTTATATTCAGTGTTAATATTTCTTATAACTGGCAAATAAAAATGTTATTTTTGGTGCAAAATTTCACTGGGTATGGAGGAATACAAGAGGGAAATAAGTTGAAAGACAATTTACATGGTACTTTTTTAATTTTATGAATGCAATTTCTTTTTTGAGGTAAAATGTTATCTTGATTTTATTAACAAGATAGAATACATGTGTACTTTAATTCCTGGTATCAAGGTTTTCCCACCTCACAATAGTCCAGAGATCTACAGCTTGAAACAGTTTAATAAATCGATAAAACTAGCAGCAACTTTCTTTGATTGCAGTATCAAGATTAATAGAACACTAGCTCCACCATGTGCTGAAACGATAGACTGTAGTACCAACAGTTTTAGAAAATTTGAATAATATCATATCCTTGACTGACTAAATGTTCTACAAAGGATTTAACCAGAAAAATCTAGGAAGAATAATGAGTGGCTTAGTTTTCTGTATAGGTTTTAGTGTGCATGCTCATAACTCTAGAAGACCTTCAAGGTCCCTTCCAACTCTGTTATTCTGAATATTAGAATGAATGTAGTATATATAGTATAGCTTATCTTTCTTCTTTAATGTGAGAGTGCTTATACGATAAGGATGAGATTGCATTAGAGTACAGTATTTAGCTATTGAAACAAGATTATAGTCTTCATCAAATTTACATAATAGTGTGTTGATTAATTTGTACTGCTGATACAAACAGCGTATAATTTTTGTTTTCATCTTTAGTCATCATTGAATTTTGAGAAACATTCCAGCACCTTTTCATGGACAGAAAATCGTTATGAAGTTAATCGTAGACGACATAACTCTTCTGATGGATTGGATCCTAGTTGTGGCCATTCAAATGGAGGTCTGTAATTTCTTGTCTTTGAATAAGGCATCAAAATATGTTATTATTTACATAGAATCAAGATTTAAGTAGATTTATTTTGTAAATCATGTATTTTCAATTACAGTGGATTTATACAGGTACTAAAAATTAACTATATAAGTTTTAATTTATATGAATAAAGAAATATTGTTAGCATAGTTCTGAATCCTCTGCAACACCTTAAAACCAGTAGATACATTATGCTTATTATATTAGGGTTGTACAAATGTTTTTATTGTTTCTTGCTCCTTTCTGGAAACTTACATGTTATCATTGGGTGATATATATTGTCCAAAGGCTTAATTCATACAAATAAAGTAGAATCAGTTATTAACATGAACTAGTTTAAAATGTTCAGTTAACATGTTGCACTTACATTTTCCTGTAATAAATTCTGTACAGCATGGCATGTAATTTTGATCTTAATCTTTTAAATCTCACTCAAGGGCATTCAGGAAGAAAAGAAAGAAATGGTTGGCGTTCACAAGGCAGAAATGGAACAGAAAATTTAAACTATAGAGCAGGATACCATAATGGAAGTTCACGTGCTCGCACCAGGAGCTTTCAGTCTGGTAAAAGCCAAGGGTCACAGGAAAACAAAGCATCTGAATGTGAGACTCTGAAAAAGACAGGCAAGGAAGAACCCAAACAATTTGAAGCTGAAGATTTTGTAAGTTTATCATAGTGCATTCAGGTACTTGCAGAAGGAAACTATTCAAAACATTTCATGAAATTACTGTTGTTTTTTTAATATTGGGAAGATATTACAGGTAGTCCTTGACTTATGACAGGTCGCTTAAACTGCCCAAAAGCTGTTTACAATCTGGTTTCAAACTTAAAATGCTGTAGCACCCCCGCAGTCATTCACTCTTATGACCGACTGCAGGGATACTGCAGTGCTCACCCCCACTCCCCCGCCATCCCAACCTGCTGGGTTCCTATAGCTATTCATCTACCCAAGACAATCCAGTTGGCTGTTGCTGGGATGAATCAATTGGGGCTTGCAAGCCTCCTCCTTCCTTCCCATCCAGCAAGCAAGGAGTTTGCAAGCCTCCAGCTTTCTTCCTACCCAAGGACTTGTAGGACTCCGCCTGCTCCAGAGCCCAGAAACACTCAACTTACCTTCTTGGTTTTGTTTGAAGAAAGCTGTTCTTGCTATAACTGCCTTTCTTTAAACACAAGGTGCCTTCATTCTAAGAGAATTTCAAAAAATAATCTCCTTGGAAGTTGTGTCTTGTCATCCAACCTCATTCTAAAGGAAATACTCTCCAATCGTAGCCATGTTACCATTAGACTAAGTGTTATTAAGTTACTAAGTTCAGTGTGATAGTCCCATCCTGTTCTTATACTTGATGTTTACCTTGCAGGCCAAGATAATATCAATTAGATTATAGCTTCCCTATGGTTATACTTTCCACCTGACTAGTGTGATTAGTTTACCGACTTCATTACCTCCTCTTACTGATTCAGAGTTCTTTGATAATGCTTCTTGCAATCCGGAAAATGAGATTTCTACAAGACAGTTTCTAATGCAACTTAAAACTAATCAAGCTGTGGATTTGTTGTTTTAGCCATCCCTGAATCCTGAACATGAGAGAGAACCAAACCAGAATAAATCGTTAGCTGAAGGTGTTTGGGGTAAGAGCATTAAGATATTATTTTATATTATACAAACCATATTAACTAATTTCTTAGCATGTGCCTCTGAAGTAATACTTGTAACTTGGGATTTTGGATTGCAGTACTGCCTTATGTTTAAAGTAAACATTTCATTGTACTGGAGTAGGTATGCATGTATGTGTGTATGCATGAGTATCTGAGTATGCATATGTACATTTTAGGATTTACAGACTTTTTTCTTAGTACTTGGGAGCCTTTGAGAATGTTCTTAGGGGTCTTTAAAAGTTGAATCTATTTGAGGCTTTTACTTTTTTGTCTCAATAACTGGTAATTTATATTGCTGATTTTCCATAGTAATGTCTTTGAAGGCTTCATTTTGCTAAAAAAAAAAAGAGCTAGTATTTATATGTGTGTATCACAAGTTGCCCCCTACCCAATTTTTTGGTATATCTTGCTTTTTCTAATAGTTCTTAATGTGCTATATATC